ATCATTAATCGTAAGTTATTAGCTAGGGAAAAGAAATGGGCCACATTGGATGCGTCATTAAGAGCAAGCTAAGACCAGTAAACATCCACTCATTTAAATACACTAGTGGTTCCCAAATTCATGAACGGAATCGTGTAGAGCCAAACTCGGTGTGGTTTTTAGCGCCGACACTCAAAACGGGATATGATTTAGGCGCGCATCGATGGTAGGAATCAGGGCTCCCAGCCGGTACAGGAATTACTTCATGGCTGCTCGTTCTCGTCGGTATGACGGTCCTACTTTGTGTATGTTTTCCTCCCCTGAGCAGCAGTTTTTTTATTCTAAGAATCTACAAATCCCATTCAAACTTCTATAGTTTCCGAAAAATGACCAAAAAGTTTTTTCACTGTCTACTCTTTTTGCTTTTTTCCACTTCATTGACTCGTGTAATAAGCTGGGTTATTGCTCCCGAAGTAATAGGTACCCAAGTTTGCTTGTTCGCTCTAAGATTTTGTGTGACTGTTTCGTTTCATTTAGCTGGAGAGATAAGTCACATTTTGTTGTATGTAGTGTTACATTTAAACATCTTCTTTTAATATTACAACGTGCACGTAAACAAATAGGAAGTTTAAAGGTGCATACACCCCTTTCCCGCAAGAGAAACTGAACTCAATTGAAAATGTGATTTATAAGCTTCGATAACTGTTACTATAATAGGCATGGCTCCTATGGCAATGTTGTTACATTTTTAAGACAGAGGCACTCGCAGTAACGACTTCATCCAGGATTAACTAGGAAACCTGCGGAGTACGCGGGTCAGTCTTGTCGCAAATCATATCGACACAAAAACCGGTTCAACCGACAATTCGTTGTCCTTCAGCATGGTTGACCTGATGTCTGTAGGTTGACCATTAAGTTATGAAACAGCTGAGGTTATGATGAAATAGCAATTTATGGCCCACTAGCTGTTCATAGATTGGGTATGGCTGACCAATTACGAATGGTAAGTCAGCGGTGGCCAGTCCAGTATCCCCTGTCTTTTTCAGCAAATTTATTCTGATGTAATGCTTTTGTGAGCACGTAGTGCAGCACTAAAAAAGGCCGCACGGAAAAGGCGAGCGTCATAAGGAGTACTCCGATATCCCTATTGGATACTATAAATACAGTACAGTCCAACCGTCGATGTCCACTGTGTGCTGCGCGACGTGGTGATTCAGGGATGGTGACTTAAGCATTAATTAATTTTAAGTGATATTTGACCTGCGTTGCATTTACGACACTTCCTCTCTTTCCTCAACCCCCCCGAGTCTGCTGCCAAAAGAGAGTCAGGAAGACTAGAGGCGGGATCGGGGGCGGGTGGCCGGAGCCGCTACACCTGGCTCAGATCCCACAAAATGGGATGACCAACAAAGTTGAACCGACCCAAAAATTTGGCGATCGATCCCGTACGTCAGAAACGTCTCGGAGGCTGTCGGCCGCCTTCTCGCATCACTTGGAGTTGGAGTCGCAC